CCCTGTCCCCGTTGTTAGCGCTTGTCTCCGTTCCGGGCGTCCTCCGGTTCTTCCTTTCTCCGCGGGGCAGGCCGCGGCCGCGGGCTGGAGCCGAGTCTGGTCAGGCGGGTGACCCCCGCTCTCCGCTTCCCGAGTTAACCGCTGGGTCGCGCGGCACGAGCAGGCCGGTTCTGTGCAGGACGTAAACCCAAAGGCGAGGCGCAGCGCAGGGAGCCGCGGGAACTCGCCGTAGCTGGACTTGCTGGCGGGGGGGACCTCTTTCCTGGCGGCTGGAACTTCTTACAGTTGCAGACGCGCCGGGTTTGGGTTTTGTGCGTGCGGTTAACGTACAGCGTGCTGTAGCGGCGCCTTCTGGTGCTGGCTTGAGAACGGGAGCGGGTAGGGAGAAGCTGCTGTCAAGAGAACAATCTGCCCGATTTGTCTGCAGAGACTGTTTTATATAATGGCAACTTGAGAGCTGGTTCCCCGAGTGGTTCATCTTTGTCCTGAATTTGCTGGGTTTTGAGACAGCGTGTAACTTGTGCAGCCTAAAATCTGTTCCTGAGGTTTCTTTATGTTTTGTTTTTTTAACAAAGTCAGAATGAATTTATCTTCATTGTTTACCTACCTATTGTATGTAGTGAGCTGTCACAGAACTTCCTGTAGAGTCTGTGTCAAAAGGCAGAAAAGGGTGATTGGTTTGCTTTTTAACCTGCTGGAGGAAGACCTTATTTCTCTCAGCATTCTTGTCTTACCCGTCATACACAGGTACGCCGGTTGATACCCCCAGCGACGAGCTGGCTTTGCACACGCGGGATCTGCCCCAAGGCACAGTGGTGCTTATTTTTTTCCTCCCAGTGGTTTTCCTGCATGACCTCTCTGCCTGCCAACATGGCACATTTTTCAGTGGTTTCTTCATTTTGATAGTGTCTTTTATTAACTAGTTACTTGTTGGTCTTCTGAGCAAATCAGCCAAATACTGAATAGATTTTACTCAGCAAGCAGCAGTACTCCGACCTGGTGCACAACAGTTAACTAATTTGTGTTTTACTTGAGTAAGGAGCTTGAGTTCAGCTTCCCCTCAATGGTGAAGAGATCCCAGATAGCTGTGCACTTACTGATCCTGCATGAGTCTGAAGTCAAAACAGAGCACAGAGGGATTTTCAGTATCCTGAGAGCATTTGAGGAACAACAGAAAACATGGAGAAAATTCTTTACTTTTGTAGTAAAGCAAGAATATGAATGTTTTAAATACTTTTTTTTTTTCAGGTTTATACTATCAACTTGGAATCTCGTTATTTATTAATACAAGGAGTTCCTGCATTAGGCGTTATGAAGGAATTAGTGGAACAATTTGCATTATATGGTGCCATTCAAGAGTATCATGCTTTAGATGAATATCCAGCAGACCAATTTACTGAAGTTTATCTTATAAAATTCCAAAAACTGCAATGTGCAAGGTACTGGACAGGGCAATATCTGCCTCTTTCTATCGTAATCTTTTACACCCTCTTTATTTGTAAGCTGTTTACAGAGTTGAAGTAAAAATCCTCGCTTTTTGCCAATACAATTTAATCCCCTTTAGGGTGGCCAAGAAAAAAATGGATGAACGAAGCTTCTTTGGTAGTTTGCTGCATGTGTGCTATGCTCCAGAATTTGAAACGGTCCAAGAAACTAGGGAGAAGTTGCAGGACAGAAGAAAGTATATAGCAAAAGCAACAAATCAAAGAGGTTTGTAATTAAAATTTCCTTATACGATCTTACCATTTCACTTCAGGGGTGGACTGGTTTTTGGTTAAAGTGCCCATTAAAGAAAATCCGTTGTGCCTGGCTCTTTGTTTTAAAGATGCATTTTAATTATGTTTGCAGCTGAATGGAGACAGCTGTCGGTATTTGGAGGGCAGTATCTTTTTCAAAGGAACTTTTTGGGTTTGGTTTTGTACTAAAATTAAAAGATGTATAAGCTTTAATAATTAAATATTTCCACCTCTTTCTGTTTTCTTTTGAAAATGTTGCCAGACATTTCCAGCACTGGCAGGAAACTTGAGATTGTCTTTTCACCCTTGTCCCAGCTTATTATTCAGGCACGCCCAAAGATACCTTTGTAAGGAAGGTGACTATAGCAAAACCCTCAACAAAAAAAATCTCTCCAGTGTATGTATTGGCACTGGGGAATGCTAAGAAGGGGACTGGGATTGCAAAGGCTACTGTGCTGTAGCGTTTCCACACAGCACTGAAGGCTGGGCAAGCTGAGAAATAAGTGAGATGCTGAGCACAGGCTTCTCCTTTCTTGTTCTTCTGTACTTTGATACATTATTCCTTGCATAGGGGTGTTTACAGGGAGTACAATCAGATTTTTAACATCAAAACACCTGTTTTCTCAATGTCGAAAAATGGCTGATTCTTGAAATCATAACTGGAAGTAATAGTCATTGATTTGCAATATTGGAAATATTTTCCTCGTGTTCTCAGAACTGCTGAAATACTTCTGCTTGGGTATTCCTCACAAACCAGCAAAGAGCTAAGCTGAAAATTTTTATTTTAAAAGGTGTCACTTAGGAAAAAAAGTCATAGAAAGGTAGCTGGGAATGAAATATTACTGGTATTGCTTCTGTATTTATATAATGTTTTTTTCTTATGTATTAGAACCACTAATGACATAAAATAGTGAAGCTGCGTCGTTGTTGTTGTTTTAAAGATCACTTTGTGTTAAAGAAAGAGGGGCCTAAGAAAACAGTCTCAAAGAACTCCGAGCATGACCATCTGTGGAGTGCATCAGGATCAGGTGCAGCCAGTAGCTGGGATCCATCCTGCTTTACAAATTCTCACAGGGTATCCCACAACACAGGGCATCCATGTGGGAATCAGAATCAGGGCCTGTTGATATTTCCCCATAACAACCGTGATGAAACTTCCGACTGCTTTGGTCAAAACGCATCCCTGGCTCCTCCAGGAGGACATACTCCACCAACTTCATTAATGCAGCAAAGGACAGTTCCAATCACTAATGGAGTTGATAGGTTTATGCCTCGTATGACTCATCTGCAAGAACGCAAGAGGAAGAGAGAAGAAGGTAACAACTTTTCTCTCATTGGAACAAGTGCGGACAGTACTGAAGTCATTATTGGTCCACAGCTACCAGAAATACCTAAAGTGGATATGGATGATGATTCATTGAATGCTTCAGCTACATTAATTCGAAATAAACTGAAGGAGGTATGGGTTCTCAAAGTTCCAGTATTTTCATTTTCAAAAACATACATTATGTGCTTGTTATCATAGGGTCTCTTATTTTGTTGGATAACTTAACATTTGTGAAGCATTATGACTTTACCCACTGCTTAAAGCTGGTGTTCTTGCTACTGAATTCTTCCACAGTGCACATAATTGGAGGTCATTCTATCCCATAGCTCTTAAGCGACACTGCAGAAGTATAAATGTCAGTGCCCGCTCCTAAATGCTTTTTAGTAAACTACAGGGTTTTTCCACACAGGGAAGGCATGATAACTTTTGAGGTGGTCCTGCTGACTCCAGTGTGGTACTTGTGTCTGGTTTCCAACTGAAAGGGAGTGAAAAATAATGAAGTCAGGGTTCAATGTAATTTTGCTCCCACACTACTTATGGCATTAAAAGATGTACAAAACCACTAATTGTGTGCTAAGAGGCATGTCCTAAGCTACAGCCAGCTCTGGAGTTCCCCAGCACAGAAAGGACATGGACCTGTTAGAGGAGGTCCATAGGAAGGCCATGAAGATGATCAGAGGGCTGGAACACCTCTCATGAGTACCGGCTGAGAGAGTTAGTGTTGTTCAGCCTGCTGAAGAGAAGGCTCCTTATTGCAGCCTTCCAGTATCTGAAAGGGGCCTACAAGAAAGCTGGGAAAGGACTTTTTACAAGAGCTTGTAGTGATAGGACATGGGGTAATGGGTTCAAACTGGAAGAGGGGAGCTTTTCACTGTGATGGTACTGAGACACTGGAACAGGTTATTAAGGGAAGGGCATTGTGGACACTGCAACACTGGAGGTGTTCAGTACTAGGTTTGATGGGGCTCTGAGCACCCTGGTGTCTAGTGGGAGGTGTCCCTGGCCACGGCAGGGGGTTGGAACTAGATGATCTTTAAGGTCCTTTCCAACCTAAACCATTCTCTGATACTCATCAATTAGCAGGTCAAACACACCTGATACAACTCTCAATTTAAATTAAGATATGAAAAAATCTCCCTTGACCATGTCTGACCTGACCGATTTGAAAGCGCTTATCTCCAGATGAACTGATAAGTAAGCACCCCTTACATTAAATAACTGTCTAAAATAAGGGTCAGAATGTGTTTTCTTTTTTTCCCCTTTCCTATTCCTCCTGGAATAGCTGAGTTTAAAAAGCATACTAAACCCTACTTTGAAAACCCCTCTGACAGAGAGAGTGGTGCTAAGATACATAACGCTATCACTAAGTACCTGAAATCAGTTTGTGTGGTTAAAACAAAAAAAGTACTGCTAACACTTCTGTTTTCAAAGTTTCACCTCCATTGTTTTTAATGCTGCCTTTGGTGTTATTTTCCCCCTTTTTCTGCAGGAAAATCCAATACAAGTTGATTATAGTAACACATCCCTCCCAATATTGAAAATGTTGGAGACACGGCATTACTCTAAAACTTATGTAAAAGAAGAGTGGTTACAGTTTCCTAAGATTTTTTTTCTTTTTTCCCAATTTAGGTAGCAGATTCTGTTACAAGAACATCTGTGGAAAAGCCAGAGAGCAGCGCAGCCAAGCCACTTGTAAAGCAGAGAAGAAGAATATAGATACTGCTACCAGCACCTTTCAACAGTCCTTTTTTAAAGGTCATAGTTTAAAACACTTGTTTGAATTTTTAACATAAAATTATTTCATATTTCCAAGCAATTGCCTGTTAAAAATTGTATCAATTTGTTTTCTTGGAATGAACAAACAGTACAATATATTATTGTCGCAGCCGTGTCCAGTGCACCTCATAACTGCAATGACTCACTGAAAAACAGTATTTAGGTATAGTACAAGTCAATTCTATTTATTCAGTAGCTTTTGCAGTAAAGGAATACTGAAACTTCTGTTTACACATTGCTCCTGTTTTTACTGTACCATGAAGAATGGTGAATAAAAGTCTCTTATAACAGCATTCCACTTGAGTATTCCAGTAGGACTTACAGTTTCCAAGTTTCCTGGAAGGTTTTCTGTTCAAATGCCATACTGCTCTGTTAAAAAAAAAAAACAAACAAAAAAACCAAAACAACCAAAAATCATGAAAACCTTCAATTAACTAAAGGATTTAAATTTAATTGGAAAAGATGCTTAACTGAAAGGCATAAGCAGCGACAGTCCTTACACTCAGGCTATCTCTTGGAGTTTTCACTTAGAAAAAGTATATTCCATTGCATTAATGCCATCACTGAGAGACCAGTCAGAACACTCAAAGTTATAACTGAGGGGGAAGTTTAAGTTAAAACTGCTCAGCAGTGGTAATGTGTGACTAAGGAACGATCTGGCACAGAGGGCAGAAAGGCCCAGCTGCAGAATGAGTTAAACTGGTGGGAAGCAGGGATGCCAGAGACCTGCAGAGAGATGTGTACAGGATGGGAACTGTTAGGTTGTAATGACCCTGGAGTGGGAGTGCTTGGGGGCCACCTCAGCAGCAGAACTGGTGCTGAGGGCATGAACCCAACACTGGGCTAAGGTACCCCATGGTAAGAGGACTGGTGCTGGTGCAAGTGTGTGTGAGGAATCCTTGAACCGTTTATGCTGGAAGGACTCTCCAATAAGTTGTTCATTAAATTAAAAAAAAAAAAAAAAAAATTCAAGTATAAATGAGCATTTAATTAAAGCCAAGGGGTACAAATAAAATTACCTAACATAACCCCACTGGGAAATCTAGTAAATCATGGGTTTTCTTCACATAAAAGCTCATAGCTGAAATTGTTTTATTGCTTTTAGGGCTTGAAAGGACATGTAGAGTTCTCTCTTAACATTAAAACTAGAAACCTAGTAAAAATACAGCAGTTGGGTAGGATGCAGAACAGAAGGTACAAACATTGTAAGCAAGAAAGAAGCTTTTCAGAATTTTGTTCTTCCATCTCAATGAAGGCACAACTTTCCGTGTTTAAAAGTGACATGCCATTCAACTAGAACAACGATTATTGGATTAGAATAATATTACAAAGAAAAAACACTCTCCACCGTTGAAGTTAACACTGCATGGTCTAAATTGCCACCTTCAAAAAAAATTCTGAATTGAATTAGATGTATTGCTAATAGAGCCTGGTTAGATATAATAAAAACCAGCAGTGCCGAACTCCGAGATGAAGAACACTCTGATGGCACTTTTTTTTCACAAGGTTACCAGCCTCTCTCAAAAGAACCTCTAGGTGAGGTCATGGCAGTGGTGCCAGTGGCACTGAAGAAAGAAAACTAGAAGTTGTATGCCTGGAGTGCTTTTGGATAAACAATTCAAGAGAACTGCCTCATCTCCTTAGTCAGAAAGGGTGCTCACTGAGGATCAATCATTATATTGCTGCCTCAGGACAGACAGGCACTGAATAAATGTTTGTTCCTATATTCTCTGGTACCAGTGTTTGACTGTGTAAGGAAACAGCAGTGCTGTGAAAGGTAGACAGGAATTCAGCATATGGGTGTTTCACAACTTAAGTGTTTACCAGTTGACTTCATCAGGCCACATATAATGACAGTATTGTCATACATATGACTCTACAAAAGTATGGAAAGTATTGCACATTTGTTTTAAACTTAAGGTTGATGTACCTTTATGTCTGGCAAACATGGTCCAAAGGCTTCCAAGAGAAGATTTTCATCTCTGACTGCTTTTTCAAAGTCCATAAAAGAAAGCTTGCCATCACGGTCATAGTCCTACAAAAGAAAGGGAACTCTTCAGCAAAGGATGATTACTTGTAACAACTGCATTTTTGTTTAATGAGTGTTTTATGGACACGGATTCTATTTTTAGTTTGATTTTATGCAAAAAAGCATTTTCTTTGGGCCACCAGTCTCTGCTCAGACAAGAGCCCTATCATTTGCCTCTACCTGAGGCATAAAAGGCAGAACTCAAAGCTCAACTATCTCCTAACAGCTTTGCTAACACAATTCCAGAGAAGGCAAAACTTTCACATGGGAAGAGGCTGAGCTGAGAACTGCATGGACAAATCTCAAGCAGTTACACTGAGATAAATTAAAAATACGAGAAAACATTTGGATATACTCTGTACAAGTATTTATATCACGAGCGTACCTAGATCCTATTGCTGAGGCTGGAAATCCTTTGCCCTAGTGGTCTCCATAGTAGGCATACCTCTGCCTGGTCTTTTTTCACATACAGCACCCAGAAGCATGACCTGATGACAGCCCATTTAGGCTGTACTGCAGAATTTCAGCGTAGCAGAATATGCCTCTGGAGATTGAAAAAAGCATCCTTGTGTTTTTAGTACTTTTGCAATTTGAAAACCTCCTTTTTCTACTGATGTGGCAGCTTAAAACACCAATAAATGGCCGTGGTGAACATAAGTACTTGTTTAAACCATACAAAATAAAGGCTTTAAATGATAGGTGGCTATGACTAGTGTTCAAGGCACAGGGCCAAATAAAAATTTTTGAAGATTAGGCCATGAACATGCAGGGAGCACAGGTTCTAATGGTCACAAGAGCAGAGGCAAGGAGCTGTGTACAAAGAGATTCCTGAGCACAAAAGCCTGCTACTGGACGCTCATGAGAAACAGAAGTGGCCAGGAACCCTCCACCTTTTACACTCCTCAGCACAAGGGAGAGCAGGCCATGAGCATGTTCATTGCAAACAGTTTTTAAGTATGAAGCCTGTATGGATGTGTGCTTAGTTACAATGCTACGGTGCCGACAGGCAACTTATTACTCAGAGAGTAATTTTTCACTCTTTGAGTCATAGACTCCACAAATGCATTTTTGCACTTGTGTAGTTATTTAAGATGGGCAGCAATATCCTACTGAGATGGCTACCTAGCATCTGCCAATCTCATCTGGATATTCTTCAAACACGCAAGTTTTATTAAGTTTTCATGGAAAAGCTGAAACAAGATTACACGCGTGATTAGTTTACAATAAGTTCTTAGATATATGAAGATTCATTACATCTAGAGCAGAGTGCTTGTGTTTGAACTAGCATAGCCCATTTATCAACTGCCCAGGACATGAGGGTGTTAATTTTGGATGCAACCTGCAGGAAAGCTGCATGTGTAGGTGCTCCAAAGATGACCAAATTGCTGAGTTACAGCTTGCTTTCTGCAGGAAATGAGACTCGGCATTGTCAAGAGCTAAGGGTAAGACAGGCCTTTCATCTGAAGGTGTGCAAAAGCGATGGGTTTGAAAAATAGAAAAGATGGGGTTAAATAAAAGGAGTTGGGATTCAAGACCCAGTTTCAAGTAAGATTTTCTGACCACCACCACAGGAGGGGGAGGTTATATTTCTTGATCTAATGAAATTATTAAAACACAGTCCCTGGCTGATCTGGATATCCTAGATTAGTCATAGTAAGACAAATTTTACATTAATAACCTTGAGGTTATGATTCTAATAGAATATATAAATTGGATAAAGATGTTTCACGATCAACTGATAAAACACAAACATACTTAAAGCTACTGCAGATGCCTAACACCAGAACAAATGCAGCTTGCACTTTTTAATTTTCCACTTTTGACTGGGCATACACATTTGTGTATGCACACATGCCCGACAGTTTATACATAAAGTTTATAATACAATCATATAAATTAACAGTTTCATGTCAGAACTGGGACTCGTTAGATCTGGATTATATTTCCGGCTTTGATTATATTTCTGGCTCAGGAGACTTGTTTATCTCAAGCACGTAACTAGCTCCATGGCTCAGAATCCCACTGTAAATCACAGTATTTTGTTGACACGAAGGAATGTTCTAAGGTTCAATTAAAGAATGTCTGAAAGACACTCAAGTATCACAATGGGTAAGTACTTGCCATTTTCTTCAGTGCGATGTCTATCAAGTCCTTAATTCCCTCATCAGGATCTTCTTCAGATGGCTGCTTGACAAGGCTATTTTTCAGCATTTGAAACATTTCCTCTCTTGAAATGTATCCATCACCATTCAGGTCATAAACCTCAAAACAATCTTTTTGAAAGATAAATTAATTTAAAGTTCATATAAGCTATATCACACAACATTAAAGCTGTCTGTTAACTATATGCAGAAAATGTGAGTTGTACGTTGTACAGCATATTGAGCCACATATTATAATATATAATATTTATATGTGAAATATATGTATTACATTTTTGATACACATACTAGTCAATTATTGCCTATTTACCCTTCATAGTTATAATGTATTTTTTTTCAAATATTTGAATCTTCAGTTCACAGAAGCGATACTAACTCACAGATTTTAACTTATCTAAAATTCTGTATTGAAAATATAAACAAGTTTTTGGTTTAGAATCCCAATTTCCAATGGCAGGGACCAGCTATTTGTATCAGGACTTTGCACCTACAAAACACTTCCTCATTTCAGAAGTTGGGTTAGAAAAGGAAACGAAAAAAGAGCTGTACTAGCATGGAAAAGACAACTGAAATATTCTTTAATGCAAAGAGAAAAATCTCTATAACAGAGTATTTTGATTATCTGCTTAATTCCTTGTCTAATTGTTTCCACCTTCCTGGAGTCAGAAATCTGCGACCATAATAAATTTTACTATTCTTCACAAAAATTAAACAAACCAACCAACCAACCTCTTCAGTTTTGGAACATGAGGGATTTTTTTTCCGTGACCACGACTACTATGAAAAAGTTAAAAACTGTACTGGCGTACCCTTATGACAGACAAGACTGTTTATCACTATGCACTAGTATATCCTATAGTGCTTACAGTGACAGCTGCATATTTTACTGCTTGTAGCTGTAGTCACATACTCAATTACATCCTGGCATGCTAGGACATTCCAGGCCACTTTCCAGATAAATTTATATAGTGTGTTAGGGATGGCTGATGTTGCAACCTGGGAACTATGGAAACAACATGCTGTCATCCTTCTTTTTCTATTCCATTTTTCCCCCCCGTGTGCTCCCTCTTCTTTTTTTTCCTGCTTCTTAAAAATTGTAGATGTTTTGCAGTTTTTAATCCCCTCTCTCTCTCTCCATCAGAACTGTGGAGGTTCTCATGACCATCTTACAAATAGACTCAGTTTTTCCATCTGTGTGACCAAGCTGAAGAACTGCTGGAATTAATCTAACTGCTGTTGTGTTCCTATTATGCCAGTAAATCAGTGTTGGCAGAGGTACTGGTTGGCTTGAGACTATGAAAACCACCCTTGAGTTACATATGCTTCTAATTTTGTGTGTCTGTACAAAAAATGTTTATTCTGTCTAAACTTTATACTGTAGAAGAAGCGTCATTTCAAAAGTCTTTGTAAGCAACAAAATAAGGTGGCAGCTACAATTAACAATTTACACAAAAAAAATCTGTCTCAGAAAATCCATTTCAGAACTCAGTTTCATTGAATTAAACTACATAGACGACAACTCTTCAATTACCAAATACTTTATAAGAGTAACTACTAAATTAGAACAAAAGCAACGTGTAATCTAATAGTAATGAATTCAATGATTACGACTAAATACTAGCATATAGATAAATCTTACATTTAATCCTTTCTTCCAGTGTTCCCCGAAGAAATACTGATAAGCCTTCCACCCATTCCACCACACTGATGCAGTTATCGTTGTCTCTATCAAAAATGCAGAACACTGGAAGTGTATTAGATACATTTTAAATTAATGTAATATTAAAACACAAAGGAATGCTTACTTAAATTAAAATATAAACCCATGGTTTTTCTGAAAACGTTTCTCTGTTTTCATCAAGATATGACCCTTCTTGAATCTTTCTAAGATGTAACAACAAAGGGTATTTCACCCCTCAGTTTACTGATCTTCCACTCCAGAATTCTGCTGGGATAAGACACTTTGTTTTCTATTGCTTTCCTGATGTAAACAATTACAGGAAGTGTGCTTCCATGCAGATGTAAACAAAATCAATCAGTATCTCTTACATTAAGGCATATTTGCATACAGATGGAGATTTTAATTACTAGGTTTTGTCTCAGCAAATCTTTGGAGAAAATAATCCTAGAAACAAAACAAATATTTCTTTAAAAAAGAACCAAAGAACCTTATTCTCTCTTTCATATACTAAAATCTTTTTTCTTCTCCCTTCCCTACAATAAAAACTTGCAATCCTGCAGCTTCATAATTCATACAGCCTGTAAAAATCCAAGATACATCAGCTAACATCTACAATAATTCGTACTTTACAATGTTAATTAGTAAGTTGGCTACAGAAACACCTCTACACACAGAGCCAGGCATTCTGAAATTGGAAAACAGTAGGCTTGCCTTTGTAAACTGAAGTCAGACCCCTTGTGCATAAGCATTAAAATAACTGCTAAAGGATGTGTCCCTGTAAAGTATCTTCCAAGACACACTTGACTTGTTACATTAAATGGCAACGAATTTTTATTTTACGGTCAAATACCCTTCCTGCTAGAGGACAGGAGAAAGTTGAACCAAGGGATGGCTCCTGACAGCCCGACACTGAAAAGAATGGCAGATTCATGCCATCTCTGCATCCTCCTCTAGCCACCTGTATATCAGAGATCGTTCATGCGACTTCCACAGCAATTGAAAGTGGCCCTCATGCCATGAACTTGTGAAATGACTGGATTTTCAAGGAGTTATTTGGCTCGTTATTCCCACCTCCCTGTATTGCCTGCCTCGCCCTTTCCGTGCTGCTCACAGGGCCTCCACTAAAGAAGTCACCCGCTTTCAACAGGATGCCTCCGCGGGACCTCGCGGACAGAGCCGTCCTCCAGCAGCGGCGACTGCAGCTCCCGGTGCAGCCGCCGGAGAGGAGAGAGGCGACACGGCGCTGCCCGCTTCTGTCCCGGTACCCGAGTGGCCGGGACCGACCCGGGCAGGGCAGCTGCCTCCGCATGCGCCTCCTCGTAAACACCATGAGCGACCCTCGGCTCAGGGAACTCCAGTGCGCAGAGAGAAGGAAAAAAGCTGTCCTCGACTCCTGAGCGGAACTCCTTCTCTGTTGTCCTTGCGGGGATGAGCAGGCACGCTCCCTTGTCTAGGCGTGCTCACGGGACCAACAACGTGCGAGTAAGACGCTGTCCCTCTTGCAGCGCGACCACCTCACCTCTGTCCATGATCATGTCATCGGTCATGCCGAACGCGCCGTGCAGCGTGTCTCGGAACATGCT